AAATAGTTATTGTAATATACTTACATGTATGATAAACATTGTTGAAGTGAGGTATGAATACATACATGTATGCCAAGAAACAAATGAGAATTACTTCATTGGTTTAATAAACAGCTGTTGTCAGAAAAATTATCATAGCGATGTCAGACCACCGTGTCAGTAAAACAAAGCACTGGAGCGGTACCGCCACTATTCATATCCTAGAGATCACACTGCACTTATCTTAGAACATAATCATTATGAATAACTGCATTACACAATTCACCATATGTATATGAAGTAAAACCAGGGCTTGACATTACTCTATAGACTGACTTGTCAGAAATGTATGTTTCTAATATATTCATCTTTATTGTGTAAAAACAAACAGTGGCAAGTGAAGAAATTCAAAAATACAACAACAAATAAATGGGAAATAGCTGCGAAATATTTAAATTTACTATAGTTGGTTAAGGCTACTTAGTAGTGAGTTACTACTAGGACTACCCTTAATGTCAATCCCTGAAAACATTTTCAGTTGATATTTTTGTACACAACCATATTATTCACAATATACACATTGCACACAAATAGAAGTTAATTGTAATGCAACATTCATGGTGAAAGAATGTATCTTGAAAAGTCCTAAAAAATCTATCCTTGTAGACACAATATAAGTAAAGATTGAAGTCCAATATTTCTCATCCATTTCCACTGACTTCCACTATAATTTACTTACAATACATACAATACAATATCCATTCTCAGTAAGTTTGTTATTGGTGGCCTTTGAAAAATTTGTATAAAATATTTCCTAGAAAATTCATTTTGCTTCTCAAAAAATAAATAATATTTTTCCTTGAGTATGTTTCAAAATTGACAAGCTTTCAACACATACATATCTAGCCGAAACTTAGCCTGGCGCACTCGCTGGCCGAACAGCATCAGATGCTACTAACAGAATAGTGTATGTCTTGTCGACAAGATCAGTACTACGAATTTGCAAAGTTCACGCTTTCTTTCGAGGAATATTTGGTTTGGTGGTCAATCAAAGCTGTGTTTGCATTGTCGGCAAAAATCACTGTTTTCAAGATGATAAACATTGGTCAGAAATAAACTCTGTCGTCAATGGTAACTTTTTGGTGGCTGTCACTATCTGATGTTCTTGCAATTTGACTGGTACTAACAAAAAATCATAGGGGAAGTGAAACACTACATTGTTCTCTCAGGCATATGTTGGGTTTGGAGGATCGCAGAGGGCACAATTCACACGACCTTGTGAGGCTAGTCGGGGTAAGGAAAAGCTAAAAACAAGCAGCCTATCGGCTGAGATAGCTACGCTGTTAGCAATGCATATATCAACTAAAGAACAGAAGATATCATTAGAAAATGAACAATATGTATAGTACCAAAGCAGTTTTCAAAAGGAAATCAAAAATATCACTTTTCACCAAAAATGACAAAAATATTCAACAAAATTAGATAATTAAAGATATCACCATGAAATGAACAAATCTGAAAAAGGTCCACATGTAGTACCTATATGTATAATATCAAAGCAATTGGACATGCAGTTTTCAGCAAAAAGTCAAAAATATCACTTTTTAGCAAAAATGACAAAAATATTCACGAAAATTAGAGAATTAAAGAATGAACTAAATGAACAAATCTGAGAGCAGTCCACATTTAGTACTTATATACATGTATGTACGGTAATATAAAAGCATTCGGACTTGCGTTTTTTTAAAAGAAGTCAAAAATATCACTTTTTACCAAAAATTACAAAAATATTCATCAAAATTAAAGAATCGAAAATATCACGAAATGAACAAATCTGAGAGAGGTCCACATGTACCTATATGTATAATATCAAAGCAATTGGACCTGTGTTTTTTAACAAGAAGTCGAAAATATCACTTTGACTAAAATATTTTGTTACTTTGGTCATTGCCACACAATATTCTAGATTTAAATGTCTCTATAAATAGAATATTAGCCATAGAGAAAACAAGGACAATCAAACAATACCACAGCTATTAATACAATCATACCAACATCCATAGAGCTAAAACTAGAGAAAGGTCAAAAGGTTTGTTACGGCTCTTCCAATCAATGCTATCCTCCCTATGCTACATGTATACTCATTCTCCTTCCCAGAGTTTCTTGCGGTTAGATCACCGGAAGTATCTCTGCCACCACACACCGCCATTTTGTGGTGAAACACCACAAGACTTTTACTACGCGTATTATTTTGCATATTTTTGTTATAAGAGGACTCTCGTGTTGATTTATTCCTACTGGAAAACAAGTTTTAAAATATTTCGTCGATAGCTGATAATGATTTTTTTGTGAACGCACTGAAAATGGTGAAAATAGTTATAATTTACAAAAGAAAATAATTTCATTGCGTAATAACCATTACTAGGGTGTTACTCGGTTCATCAAATGATCGTCCTGTTTGAACTGTTTGTGCTACAGAAAGAAAAAAAAAAAAAGCTTCTAACTTTGAAAACAGCCAAAATCTGTAAACAACGTGTACGCATTCGTCGGGTTGGAAAATCGAACACTTGCATGGCACTGTTTTGGTGAGCGTCTTTAAAAGTAGTGCCACTGTGACGCATCGACCAATCAACAACGAGCATAAGATCTGCCTGGGAGATTGGTATATACTATTATTTGTCAGAACTCTTCCAATCATTGTTATCCTTCCCATCCTGGATATATAAGATAAGTTATCAACCTCATGTGAAGTATTTACTACACCATATAAAAACACTTTGCAAGTCACTGTGTCCTAACAATATATAAAACTGTATTATGTGACTGACAAGTGTTACCAGTTACAATTACAACAATACATGAATAACAATGTTTTTATGTCAAGGTCATGATGTTGTTATGTCTACCAAACTAATTATAATAACCTTCCACAAACTATAATTATAAATTAATTAACATATTTGTCTCATACTACACCTATCTAAAACCTTGCCCATTAGCAAGTGGGCTATCTTCCTAAAAATAATGATCACAGATAACGCATTGCTGAAGTAAATTCAATTTTTATTGAAGTTGCAGCATGATTTGTTGGTGTTGATTTTTGCTGTTTTAAAGAGATGATTACCATTTTTTAAAAGATAAAACAAATATTATAGAGTTAGCAGCTTTCAAGACAATAACAGATAAAATATGTTATCGTACATTAAACTGTTAAGTCTTTTCTACAGCATTAATTTAGTCATAATAGTGTTTTGACGGAAATAATACACCCGAACATTGTCCTGGCTGAGTTTTGGAGCAAGCACTCACACAAAAATATCACCCTCCCTCCAAATGATCACCAAGGATAATTATTTGATAATAAAAATAAACAAAAATAAATATCTCAAAAACTTACCACTCGCAGGTTGTTGCTGAGGTTGTTGTTTTTGTCTTTGTTGTTGTTGTTTCACTATAAAAGGGGCTAAGAGTTTTGCTTTTCTCTTTTCATACCCTTTGCGTGTGATATCACCTGTCAAGCAAACATAAAACTCAAATAATCCAGCAGCAACATGCAAAGCTTTCAGTCATGTCTGTCAATCTATATGGTTATCAGTTGAATAGCAGTAATAAATATACCATTAGCATTGGCAACTAAATGCAAGCGAAAAACAACAATGATAGAAATTTGCTTTTGTCCAGCTGTCATGCAACTAAAAATCAGCATTGTAATTAAGTTTATGCAAATATATGTAAACAATTAATAATCTTCTTCTCTAAACTGAACCCTGTGTAAAATGAAATGTCTAAAACCACACATTTTTTTACTTTTCTGCATAGAATTAGTAATCAAATTATCTATTAAAACTGAATGCCTCTCTGCAAACAGAAACATTTCTGTCTACGCTATGGTGACATCATGTCCAGAGATATCTGTATGTCCCTTGTCAGTGTGGTAGCTAAAAAATTTGAAACGATTTTATTTTTCAACAAGTCATGTCAATGACATTGTTCACATCTGTATTGGATGCATTTCATTGGATAGGAGAAGTAATGCCAAGAAAATGTTGTTGAAACAAAAACAATTGGCATACACAGGAAATTATTGTTTTGCTCTGTACATGTACAAAATTTATACATAATAATTTTAGGTCAGAGAAAAAAGTTGGCTCCCAGGTGGTTGAATTACATTGAAAAGAAAAATTGGTCAATAATTGAATTGCTTTACGACATGGCTGCCAGTCGGCCATTTTGAAACAAAATGAGTGATGTCAATATACATGTAAAGTTAGAATAAAATTGACCCAGGCATGCTCAAGAAATGCTTGAGCAGCTGGCCGTCAAAAGTCAGCGAAACAGAAAACAAATCAACATGGGCATGAAACCAAAACATAGGCTCCTGTTTTGGACAACATCTGATAAACACTAATTACAGTACAACTCAGTAATAATGTGCAGAAAGTGAAACACAATTGGTCAAATAACATCAATAAGTACAGATCACTACTACATATATGTTATATACATGTACCGCATTAATCATCTTGTCAAGTCAAATTGTTTAGTTGATCAAACTTTATAAAATACTAGGGTTTTGTTTTAAGGATGTAGTAGAGGTTTTCAGGAAGTAAAATTCACACAAATTACTTTCATATAGGAATTGTTTTAAACCATATCAAACTAAATCTTACTATATCCTTAATGTAACATTCAAGGTGTGATTAGTAATATTGATAAATATGTTGCACATATTGTTCATTTTCTTGTTGTTTGTGCATTTTATGTTTATGATAATAATTTGTGAAATCAGGTCTTAGAATTGTTATTCGTCTTCTACACTTTGAGATGTAGTCTGTTGAACTTTGCAGAGGCAATTTCATGGAGATGACCATGATCTTGTGGCCATAATTCAAGATCAGAGATTCGCAAAACCATCTACTGTATGAGACATCTTTTTTATCCCATTTTGTGGCAAATACATATACTGTACTTACCCGAGTATAAGCCCCTCTCCGAGTATAAGCCCCTCTGTTTTTAGACATTTAATGAGTTGAGGGCATCCCCGAATGTAGGCCCAGGGTGTTTTTACCAGGCGTCGATGACATTTATTAAAATACATTTGTATGCATGTAAAAATTGTATTTCATTGCATAAAAATCATGATTAGTACGGAAGTTTAGTTCCAGCTTTTACAAGAAAACTTACATGGAAAACTGCATAGCAGGCGAACGTACGGAACATAGTTCGCACCTTTTCTATTCTGTTATTTACTCGGGATGAACCCCGATGTTGCAATATAATCCATATTTCCTTTGAGTAGTAGTTTTCCAAACGGCAAAAATTTTATCATCAAGTCGTGAAACAGAGTCACTGAACATCGTTTTACTTTTCAGAATAATCGTGTCCATTGAGTCTATCATGAATGAGCAAACTATTCTTCGACATGACTTGTTGGCAGCTGGGAAAGGTTTAAATACTTCTCCCACCCTCAGTTAACCTTTCAAAAATTGTGAATCAACAGCTCTTTTTGTCAAAATCAGTGTTAAAAGATCGCAGTAATTCACTTCTGCATTGCATTGAAAAATTACTTTGTCAATAATCGGGAAACTTCGTCTGTATGACACAGCATTTTCATTGGTTAACGAAAGACGTGACCTGCTAAATCAAAGGAAGTTGTTCAGGTCAAATCATGATGAAATACACAATGATGGAAATAGCTTTGTATCAGGAGTTTGCATACGATCCAAAACATTCCACAATGAAGATGATGATAAAGATCTTGTCTTCGTTGTTTTCCCACAGACCCCACCCATTTTTGAACCGTAATTCAGACGGTATGTAAACCGTATTGTAATAAAATGTGCGTATTTTATGATCATGTTTGTTTCTTCATTGTAAAAAGTGTCATGGAAATCAATGACGACTCGATTGTTTCGCATTTTTTTCCTCAAAAAGACATAATATATGCCCGTACCAGTAGAGTAACTGTTGATTACTACTACTGTGCCACACCCAGCATGTATTGACATGATTAACACTCATCACTGACAAGTTCTCTAAATGCAGATAGTGTTATGGTTTATCTACATAAGATACAAAAAACTAATGTTGGTACACGTATACTTTTCTGTTCAGTGTGGTACAAATCACACCCAAATTACAGCAACCTTTGACCTCACTACATTGTTGATGTCACTGTATGAGTCACTTCATAACATCACCATTCTACATTCCCAAAATATAACGTCATTTGCATACTATTGTACAAGGGCAGAATGTTGTGTGAAACTGGTTTAAAAAACTACAATTTAGCAATAAATGAATTCTGTATCAAACTGATAAGTAGGAACTTTGTGAACTATTACTGTTATCTCCAACATTTGTGTGAACCATACACACGTACACCGAGATATGGGTCCAAATAAAACATGTTAATTATTGCCAAGTCAATCATGCAATTTTACTTAGTTAGTGATCTGAAGTATTTCTTATCAAATGACTGGAGCACTTTTTATCAGTCCCCTCGTCAGGGCAAGCGAGGGCAAACTACACTATGTAATGTATACGATGTTCTCGATCATCCTCTTCATTTTCTGGGTCTGTTTATTTACGGAAGTGAGCACCAACAGACATATATTGTCTGTACAATAAGTCATAAGTGTGCACAGATCTAGACATTGTGATGTTACAGCGGACAGTGACAACTGAGTAAATCGTATGAAATCAGTCACCAAGTCAGAGTGTAATCGTTGGCTGATTACAAATAAACATCACGTTCATTCGTTCTCTTAATCGCTATTCTTGTCATGATGACGACTTCATGACATGGTCGCGACGATCAAGGCCGCCACCGAGTACCAAATTCTGTCTAATTTAAGGGATGCAAAGTCTAAATAGAGGAAACAAAACGCAACAGCCAGTCGACGAGTCGGTCAAACTATAAACATAAATCTGACGACCGATCACTCGTTTCATAAAAACATATGATGATGATTGATACAATTTTAGTAAATTTCGAACTTACCTTCTGCTAATTCCTGGTCCAGCTCGATTAATTTTGCCTTGATCTCATGTGGGACAGACGCTGTACTGGACGATCGTTCGGCCATACTCGTCAAATGGTTATGTGCGACAAAAACACTCAGAATTTTTCGATGAACTTATTTAACGAGTAAGTTCAGTCCGCCATATTGAATACTTAGCTTCCACACCTCGGTCACGTGACATATTTAACCTCGTCCTCGCCAAGACAGGATATGAAACGAACAGGGTTTATTTGCATAAATTTCATTTATTCTGCTTTACATCAAATAACGTGTTCTCTCAAATACGCAAGTTAATAATTAAATATTCACGGTTTACATGTTCAATAATTTATAATTATAATTTCTATACCAAAATCAAATTTTGAATTGTGTAGATTGTTTCATTTGTTTCTAACTAATGATCTTATGTAAACGTTCTAGGCTGTAGATGTACTTATATTAATACATAATATAAATATCATAAAAACAATCCGGCAGGAAACAGTAATAGAAAAAAACAATTCGACACGACTAAAGTCACACGGTGGAAAGAAATTACAGCAAATGATCTTTTAAAAAATTAGCGAAGGAAAACAACATTTACGCAGTTATTCTGCCATCGCCCCTAAGTCCCCTCCCCTCCACTTCCCACTTCACAGTTTCTAATGGTTCATCCCCAAAACAACAAAACCAAAATAGTACTTTCCGTGGCGTATATATGTAATACATAGACTGTTTTGCTATTTTTCAATTTGTTTTTAATCACTGAAAAAGTTCAGAAAACCACCTGGGATATTGATGTGACATTCATTAAAATATTCCTCGCATCAATTTGTCCAGGGTCCATGTAAGCGGCTGCCCATTCGAACTCATAGGCTGACAGAACTCGTTGTTTAAAGGGCGGTGGTCGTCGCTCTGCGCATGTGCGACATTTGTTTTGATAAACATTGATTTTTCCACAACTCAATGCTCTTCTAATGGAAATCAAAAGTATGAGGTTTGACCTGGGCGCAACGATGTCTCCTACGATACCTTTCAATTACCCCCCCCCAAAATATATAATTAAAGCTTGGTAACGTCTGTACTCGTTGAAGTCTTCATCTTTTTTTATATGAGACCCATATATCTCGCGCATGCGTGGCGCAACGACTACCGCCTTTTAAAAAATGCAAGCTAGACATCGACAGAAAAAAATGCACGTGTTGCAGGGAAAACATGTTGGCACATTAAAAAACACACAGGTGGACGAAAATAGTCTGGTTATACTCTTCCAGCCACCCCTTGATTTATAATGGTTGCCCGCTAAACTGAATGTTAAATTTGGGTTCCCAATTATAATCACACATTTTCCAGAAGTGCACTGATTACTATTACAATTGTACATATTAAATTTTAGCGGAAAATATCGAAAACGAATTGAATAATTAACAATGTGATGTTATATGAATGGCTAGCGCGCCCTCAATGTCGCTATTATAGAATAGTGAGTTATCGAGTTTTTGACTACACTAGAACGATACAGTGCAGTGTGTACAGTTTTGAATTTTGTTAAAGTGTAACTGAATTGGGACAATTGACTTTCTTTGTGTGCAAAATTTATTTATAAACAACATTATGAAAAAAAAACAAGTGAAAAATGTACATAAATTAAATAAACGATCAATAATAATGTTCTGGATAAGGAAACGCCCACGTCCAATTTCTTGGCCGACTCAGAACGAGGCTTCAGCTAGAGAACCTATTAA